GCCCCTGCCTTGCTCCCACTCCCACCCAGGAGCCCTCCCACACAGGCCCCTGCCTTGCTCCCACTCCCACCCAGGACGACTGACCCGAGGGGAGGCTGATGCGGTTGCCATCCCTGAGCTTCAGCCGGCTCTTCCGGAACTTGCCCTTGCGTTTCTTCACCCGGGGCTTCTCCTGGCACAGCTGGTGGATGATGATGTTGAGCTCCCGTTCTAGGATGTCAATCTCCCGCTCGGCCAGCTCCTGCTCCCTGCGCCGCAGCAGCTCCTCCTGGTTCTTTTGGTGGAGTGCTGCCCGTGTCAGCTCCTCCTCCCAGGTGCGGAGCTCCTGCAGGGTGGACAGAGGGAGAAGTGGGTTGCTCAGTGCAGAAGAGCTGGGGGGCGGCTGGAGAGCCCTCCAAGGACTCACGCTCTCAGCAACCCACAGGGTCCTCCCGCAACGCCCCGTGGAGAGACGGGGCTCAGAGTTAGCTGCTGAGCGAACACCTGACCACCCTGTGCGGCGGAGAAAGGGGAGTTTGCAACAACCACACTGAGGGTACAACCAGAGAAGCTGGCACCACTGGGCAAGCTCTAGAGATGGGGCTGGGGGCGTGATGAGCGCACCACAAGTAATATGGAGTTAGCAGTACTGACATCATAGGCTTAAGACTATTATAAAAATTATAACGAAGTATGGCACACATTACATGCTCTACAATGTGAGCGGGTGTGAGAATGGGTTTGAGCTTTCCTAGGACCAGCAGTGCCCCCTATCCACAGGGGTATGTTCCAAGGCCTTCCAGGGGATGCCTAAAACCACGCAGACAGCGCTGAAACCTATACGTACGTGTCTCTTCCTCTAACGCACACCTTTGATCAAGTTTAATTTAGAAATCAAACACAGAAAGAGATAAGCAACAATAAGAAATTATAACAATATACCATATTACCAGCATTGCTACTCTTACACTCTGAGGCCATAGTTAAGCAAAATAAGGATTGCTTGAACACAAGCTCTGCAACACCATGACAGCTGATCTGATAACCAAGACTGTCACTGAATGACTAACAGACCGCTACATAAGGTCAGAGGGCTGACAGACATCCTGGTGGAACAGTGCAAGACTTTATGACACCATTCAGAATGCATGCACTTTAAAACTTCTGGAAATTTTCATTTACTGTTTTTGGATAATGGATGACTGTGGTTAATTGAAACTTCAAAAAATGGAAGCATGGATATTCCCGTAACTACTTACAACAAAATGCAAGGTTCATTTTTCTTACTGGTTTGTATAATTTATAACTACAGTGTGATTTTTATCAATCAAAAGAAAGATAACTAAGAGTCAGTGATTTAACAATCTAAAACAAGCCAGCCGCTCTAGGAGTTCTTCTAGAGGCTACAGCAGTGATGATTCAACAGTTTCTTGAGATCATTTCATTTAATGTCCAGTGCAGGTCTACCCAGCAGGGTCCCTAAAAATTTGTCGTAAGCTCACTCCATTCTCCTGCAAAATATTCAATGACTTGCCACAAGGTACTACGTTTAGGATTGCTGTGTTCCATAGAAGCTCTTCAAACCATTTGCAAAAATTATTTCTAAGTCATTTGGGTAAGAGAACAACAATACTATTACAAAGAACACAGGTTTAGAATCAGAAGACCCATGGTCAAGGTCCTGCTTCCCCACTTACTAGCTCTGTGACTCGAAGAAACCACTGACCCTCAGCTCTGAGATGGAAACAATAACACCTCCAATATATAATGGTGACAGGAGCCAGAAGACTCCTGGATAAAAAGGACAAAAAGGCCTCATCAGGTGTTTCAAGCAAACAAAACAAAATAAAACAAAAACCCTGGAAAAGAAGCCATATAACAGTTTAGCTCCTATTACTATCATATTGCTACTAACTTCCCAAATTCTTGCAGTGCAGAGTGAAAAGCAAAAAAGGAAATTAACCAAGTCCACGTGGACATCCCTTGAGCCCCTGGCTGTACCCCTCCGAGAGTCCTGCACCTACAGGGCAAGCTACCCGCCTGTGATTGGCTTCACCTGAGAACACAGTGACGCTGGCGCTATCCAAACGCTCAGGGTGTAAGAGTAGCAATGCTGGTAATTTTATTACGGTATATTGTTATAATTTTTATTGTTGCTTATCTCTTTCTGTGTTTGATTTCTAAATTAAACTTGATCATAGGTGTGCGTTAGAGGAAGAGACACAGTACGTATAGGACTCTGTGAACTCCCCAGCTGGTCTGACCCTGGACGTCTTCCGGGAAAAACACACAATTTCAGATCCACGGCATGTCTAGTCCATAACCTGCTTCTGACTCTGATAGCAAAAGACGCTGGTGGACGTTCTGGTAGCTTTTCTAAATGCTGAAGCAGCCCTACATGAAGCGAACGTCTCTCTAGAAGTCCACTGTAGAACCCAGGGACCTCTGCAGAATCCTCTCATATTTTCAGGTGACGGGAAGACACCCCAAGGGGAGCTGCCTGCTGGTGTTCCTCTTCTGTGTGCACAACTGGGTGGATACCAAGCAGCAAGGCGGCTGTGTAAAATCACGGCGGCAGGCAGACTTAGCCCGCAGCCCTGCAGGAAAAGGCCCACTAAGCCAATGCATGCCTTTGCTCGGTTTTACCTTTTCTTTGGCCCTGAGTTGGTCAAACATCTCTTGGATTTCATGCTTCCAGTCATCCTGCAGGCAGTGGAAGGAGTCCTTGGGCATTTCAAAGAAACCAGACTCCTCTATGGTCGTTAGCTGGTCCAGGATACTCATGAAGGATGGTCGTAAGTGGGGGTCAGGATTCCAGCAGTCTGAGAGGAGCACAAGCAAACAAAGTGTGAGTGGACAAAGGCAAACAGAAGACTCGGTTATGCTATGGCCCCATTTACCAGGAAAGTCTCCTTTCTCCTTCCAGAAACAGACTGGCATTTAGGTAATCTCGAACAGAACTCAGGAAATAAAGCTGAGGGAAGCTGGAAATCGAACTGCAGCAGTTCTGACGTTAATAAAGTGTAAGAAAATCAAGTCTAGGAGTTTTCTGTGTAAAGCACTACCACCCAATTTACCACGTTAGTACATGGTTCAAGTCTTGGCAATGGGTAGCTACGGCCCAGCCCCAATGTCCATAAACACTCGAGCTACCCTCTCCTCCCTACCTCCCAGGGTGGAACGATGAGAAGGCAAAGATAAAGGCATTAGAGTGGAAAAGCGGATTTCACCTAATCCCAGCTCCGCTACTAAGTAATGGGGTGGCACGTACCCTTTAACCCTGCTCAGCTTTTCTGTTCTCACTTGTGGGACTGGACTAGACACTTCAGGGTTCCTTTCACCTGTTGTTCACCCCTACATGTAAGACACTCAGATCCTGAAGTAAGGGCTATTATACCTTCTTATTTTATGTTAAATAATGAGATACTGAAGTAAAGGTTAGCAGGCCTTAGTTACTACGTTAACACTCTAGTCACTAGAGATGAGTCCCTTTTGCAACCTGCAGGGTGTTGCCATTGTTTTGAGGTAGGTCTTCCAGCCGGGCGTAGTGGGGCATGCCTGTAATCCCAGCACTCAGGAGGCTGAGACAGGAAGATCGTTGTAAGTTCAAGGCCAGCCTGGCCTACAAAGTGAGTTCAAGGCCAGCCTGAACTGCATAGCGAGACTCTGTCTCAAAAAGACCAAAAAAAAAAAGAAGTAGGTCTTCCAATTGCCCACAGGACTCCTCCTCAAGAGAAAAATACTTTTTCTCCTCCTTCTGAAACTATCTTATTGGCCAACGTCTACCAAGTGCTGTAAAAGGCTACACCATCTCCTGTTTTGTTCAAGAGAGGGTTTACTCACCTTCCATGAGTTTGGCAAAAGGTTCTGGACATGTAGAAGGAATGGGAAGGGCCAGTTTGTTCATGGCCACTCCGTAAGCCACTGCTAAGCCATCAATGCCGCGGAAGGGCACCTCCCCGGTCAGCAGTTCCCAAAGCAACACTCCATAGCTAGGGAGAGGAAGAAGACAGACACCATACAATAAACCAAAGGCAAAACCTCAGTGAAACAGTTTGTGAGGTTTTACCAAGCAGTTCACCGTCTCCCTAACACACAGGGAAATGAATGAAGTAGGCATGCTAATACAATAGGAGAGGGAAGCCACAAAGCCCACTAGTGAAAAGCAAAAACTCTGGACTCAGGCACACTTGGTTCCAAAGTCTTGTTCCATCCCTCCCCAGCCATGAGGCTACGGGCAAACTTCTGTTCCCCTGAGGAGGGCCAGCACACGCAGCGGGTGTGAGAGCTCCGCTGTGCCCACCCTACCTTTCAAGTCTACGTATAGAATCTGTCACGTCCTGTGAGTCAGAAAATGTGGAATGCAAAGCTTACTGTAAGAATTATTCTATGAATTCACAAGCAAAGCCAGCGTAAGAATAAGTTAGGACAAGAAACCATAAGGCTACAAACAGACAGAAGAATGGTGCTCATATTTTCAATAACAACCTCAATTTTCTTTTCTTTTTTTTTGCGGTACCGGGGATCGAACTCACGACCTTGTGCTTGCCAGGCAGGTGCTTATGCCACTGAGCTATATCCCCAGCCCCACCTTTTTTTTTTTTTAAAGCAGGGTCTCATTTCCCAGTTCAGATCAAGTGAGGCCTTGATCTCACTTTGTAACCCAGGCTGATCTTGAACTCGCAAGGATTCTCCTGCCTCAGCCTCCCAAGTGCTGGGATTACAGGTGTGCACCACCACGCCCGGTTTCAACTTTCTTATAATAGTCATCAGTTCTGTGCAGCCAGCAGCAAAGGCCATTTTAATTTAAAAAAATACACTCAGTATTTATTGTGATACCTTCTCTGTACAGAGAGCTATGGCACTTTCCAAACATTGTCCAGAATCCCTACACCAAGCCTAGCAATAATGTTATCACTGTTGGGCAGACGAGTGACGCAGGCCTCAGACAGGGCTAGCAGCAGGTATAAAGCGCATACATCATCACGGGCCCTGGCCTCTCTCGCAATTCCTTCTCCCTAGAGCGCCCTTCTACCATTTCTACTTGGTAAGTGCTAACCATCTTTCAAGATCCAACTCAAACATCCAACCGTATACTCATCCATTCATTTCAAACATCTACTAAACATTTACCAGGCGTAAAGCTCAATGCCGGGCACTGGGATACAGAATTAAAGACACAAACCTTATCTGCAGACAGATTAGTGAGAAAGACAAAAATGACAACAGGTGGAATAGAACCTCATGAGTCGTGGTAAGAGATACTATGACACAAGGAGGCCCTTCTAGGCACACAGGACAGGGACAAGGGACGGTCCTTGAGCTAACACCTTGGCTGTTAAGTGAAGGAAGAGGCCCAGACCTCCAGACCCGGGGGCAGTGCGCACAGAGACAAGTAAGTGACCTAGACAAGTCTCAGGGTAGTCCAGAAACAGGTGCTCTAGAGCATGGGTTTGCTCTCAGAAGCATCCCAAGTGAGTCTGCTTGGCTCCAAAGAAGGGCAACGTCCACCCAGTGCCATGGGCTGTACTATGGCCTGGCCAGTCTCCCTGGACCATGGTTTTACCCTCCTGTTTGCAGGGAATGGAGAGCTGCAGGTCTTGACTTGTCTGGAGAGGAACTTAATTAAACTTTAGTTGGTGGCTAACCTGAAGACGCTTTCTCTACTATCCCCTTGTTAGGGATCCCGCGTATTATAGTTGTTCTTTACCAGTCTATGGACTCCTATAGAACAGATACAGTAGTTTTAACCTCTGCACTCTCACAGCCTAGCCCAGGTTCTTGTACACGGCAGACGTACACAAATACATGAGCTGGCAGGTCGTTGTGGGAATGTGCGCGCGGTCAGGAGGTCCTACAGGCTGCCCTGCGTGGGCTACAGTAAGCCTCAGATACCATCGAGAATTGCACGGCTGTTCCTTTCGCCCAACCTGTACTGTGACTGTGACTTATGCAGACAGTGCTCACACTGGGCAGTTTCTACAAGTGAGCGCCAAGAACTCTCAGCAGTGCTGACCAGACTCCTAGGTTAGAGCCACTCCCATCCTTAGCTCTCTCCTTTTGGCATCAATGCCCACTTCCGCCCTGCAGAACAAAAACTGAAGTCTCATGGCTCCTCTGTGTCCCACGGAGACTCAGATGGCTGGTCTCTGAGCCCTACACACCTGGAAACACAGCAGAGTGCTTCAGAGACACAGACACGCCCCGCTTGTGTCCTGGCATGCGTCTGTAACAGTTTTTCCTGAGCCCTGACTTCTGGCAGAGACGTCTCAGACCGCTGGGAAGTGAGAAGAGCCGGAGAGGCCACCCTGCGCAGCTTGCAGGAGGGCAGCTTTGCTCTTTGTCGGCTTGTGTGCTTTCTGCTGTATTTAAAGCGTCTTACAACTAGAAGTGTGAGGCCTGCTGCTCAACTACAGGGAACGCTACCTCCGAAAGACTAACAGGTCTGAGTCAAATTTCTGTGCTGTCACTCGCCAGCCACCTGCCCTGGAGGAAGTAAGGTCACTTCTCCAAACCTCAGTTTCCTCTTCCAAACAAACGGACTGCAGGACCTGCCTCCTAGGATAGCTACAAGGGATAAGCAGCAACAGCCATTCCTCACGTACAGACTGTCATCTATGGCTGGTAAACACGTGTGGCTTCTCCTAAGGGCCGGAAATGAGGAAGTGTCCTGGGAGGGCGACGTACTGCCCAGAACATCTGGGGACAGTCTTGCTGAGGGACACGACTTTTACAGAAGTAGCCACTGTGGAAATAACTAAACCATTGAGATTTCCTGTGCCAGTGTCTCTTTAGTTTTACAACGGGAGGTGGGTGACATAAATGAAGAGCTGGTATTTCTTGGGCAGGAACGGAGCCCCAAGAACAAACTGAAAAAACACAAGGTAGGTGGATGGGAGCGCCAGGAGCAGGTGGGCAGAGGTCAGTGCGATTTACCCCAGATTTGGTCTTACTTTGTTGCCCTCCCTGGGTTGAAAGAAGGTGAAAATTCCTTTCAAAACCATTTGCAAGCAGTCTGGAAGGGCCTGTTCAGCTGCATCTGTCCCTCCTAACCCTTGGAAAATTCACCCTGGGTTAATAATTAACCACCTCCAGAGAGTTAATAAGCCCTTAAACAAGGAGGGAGGAGGTTGAAAGTGAAGAAAAGGTAAAAGCAGATAACAGCCCTTCCAAATCACAGGCACAGCAATGCTGCACCTGTTCTGAGCTAGAGCTTGCTCTTATTGACCTGTCATCTCTAAGGCTGCCATCTGGGGGTCACCTTCTGAAAGGAGGGGCTCAGCCCCCCCTGAATGAAGTAGGCAAGGGAACCTCCTGCACTGGGTAATCACCCGTGACTCTAATTCAGGAATCATGCTGACTATCTAATCATCTTTGGCAAAGATAATAAAGTAATATATGTGAAATCACTTTGTAAAGTAACACAATTATTACTCTGGTTACTTAACTCATTCAAACTGGTACGTTTATTAACATAGATGCAGTGCATACATCAATGTGTTTCTCCACAAAATATAGTCATTGATGTGGTAAGAAAAATTCATGCTATATTCATTTCAAAAGCAGCTTATGAAATAGATGATTTCATTCTAAAAATGGGTGGACAAGTACATAAATAAGACTAAACATACTAAAACATTATAGGTTACCTCTAAGATTTAGGCTGGGTTTCCTTTCTTCTGTTCTTCGTTATCTATCTTTTTTAAAGGGAACATGTTTTGTTCCCTTTAGAAAATATAGATTTTTTTTTTATATCTGTAACTATATATATGTATTTTGGGGTGGCGGGGGGGATAAGGTCTTGTTCTATAGTCCAGGCTGGCTTTGAACTCTGTCTTCCCACTTCAGCCTCCCAAGTGCTGAAATTGCAGCTGTGTGCCACCACACCCCGTTTATTATCATGATTTTTTTAAAGCTTCAAGTGACTAGGAAAATGCCGCTACCTCATCCCTTCCACAGCAGGAAGAAGCCCTTGTGAGACAGTGCCCTTGGCAGTCACCACTGCTCTCCCTGCATAACACGGCCGCAGGGAAAGAGTTCAGCAATTACTTTTCTTGAGGAAATCCTCAATCTAGACAGAATTTTACATAAATGAAATGAGACAGAAGTTCACATAAATGAGGATCCAGGCGATTATCACCTCAACCTCTGTCGCAGCATGTGCAGGAGACCCACAGAACCACACAGAGCAGAAAGACCATCTCGGCTGGCCAACCCCCCGGCAGCAGCAGGGATGCAGAGGCTCCCAGACCCTGGATGGGGGTAAGAAGGATGGGGCCAGACTCGCCATAATATCGGGCACAGGTAAGCATTCACCAAACAGTTCTTCAGTGAGTAAATGAATTACAAGTCACTCTGGGAACCAGCTTTGGACCAGTCCCTAAGCCTGTGCTGGCTCTCTCTGGTATATGCTGCTGTATCCCAGGATGGTGGGTCCCTCAGGAGGCTTCCCAAAGTACTGGGAGGGGATACAGTTGGTGACATGTTACCAGTGTCTAAATACTCTGCATGTATAGTGAGGGCGGACATTTTCCTCTGGTAACAGTGAGAGATCTTCTGGAGCCATTTCAGTGAGTAGGCTTGAGGAAAGAGGGTTTAAGGCCCATGCCATAGGTTCAATAACTTGTGTCTTGAAGGAAATCTTGCAGAACAGAGGATAAAGCCGGGACATGGCAGACTGAATTGTATTTTCAAGCCACATCCAGCAACTAAACTGGGTCAAGAGGCTTAAGTCCCGGGACAGTTCTAAACTAGAGACTCCACTAGAAGACCACGTGACAACATCCAAAATACTTCACCCCAAGCACTACTGATCTGAGATTTATCTGAGTCCTTCTCTTTACAGAGTCGAGTAATTTCATTAGATGCCTCTCACCACAGCCTGCTCAAGCCAGCTTTCAGGGTCTGAAGCTGAAGGACAAGATGTGGACATTCGTTTTGGAATAAGGATACTTTGTGTAAAAGATGAGGGGTCTGGGCTGGGGATATAGCTCAGTGGCATAAGTGGCTGCCTGGCAAGCACGAGGTCGTGAGTTCGATCCCCGGTACTGCAAAAAAAAAAAAAAAGATGAGGGGTCTGCCTTCCACGAGAGAAGCAAGGCAGGACCTTTCAAGCTTTATCCCAAATTCCTTTTCTGACTCGCTCCTCCTGTGGAGGACAAAGTCCTCCAACAGCCTGCACTTCCCTGCCCGCACTTCTGTCACTGTAAGAAGCTCCTACATTTGGCATCTCTGCTTTCTCGTCCCACAGAGGATGTGTCTGGACACGAGGAATTCTGTGCAAATCATCACCAGGAGAAACTGGAGTGTGCGAGAATAAAAAACCCGCAAGATTTCAGGGTCCAGCTGCAAAAGAAGTCTAGCAGGAATGCCGAAGTAGAAAGCAAGCATGTTCCCTTCTCCCCGGCTTCGCACGACGAAGAGAAAGTCCAGCGCAGCAAGAGGCTACTACTTGGGGGGATCATTGGGATGACCTCCCCACATCTACTATCCCCGGCTTCTTTAGTAAGAGTTTTGGCTGCACAGCGCCGTCCAGCTAAAGCTGACATTTGCGTGCCTCCCTCGGGGCCAGATGCGTCCACATAACCAAGCACAGGCAACAGGGTACACACAGAAGACGTGTACACTGCCGCCTCCACATTAAAAACAAGCTGCTGTCCGTGGTAAGCTCTCTTCCTCATTTTGTTGCAGACTGTAACACAGATGTAACGGTCACTCAGATTTAACCATTTAGAAAAGAACAATGCGCAGAGGGAACCTGAGGTGACCTGGGTTTCTCAACGATCCCATAGGCACAGCTGCCCTGCCAGCCTAGACTGGCTGGACTACTTACTCCTTGAAAGAGAAATGTGATGGTATCTTATTTAAGCCTCCAGCTCTGTAAGTCACCTTGTAACATCAGTTTAGCTTAATTAATATATGTATCTCACTAGCATATGATCAAGCAGCTAAAGCATTAAACTGAAATGAAACTGCTGGGTTTCTATCTGATTTGAGACAGTCTCACTATGTAATTCAGCTTGGCCTTGAACTCACTGTGTAGGCCAGGGTAGCCTCGTACTTGAAATGCTCCTGCCTCAGCCTCCCAAGTGCTGGGATTCCAGGCATGCACCCCCACACCCAGCTTGAAACTGTTTTTTTTTGAAACTGTTGACACCATTTACTGAGATGTTGTTTTCGAAGATTACAAACCTTTGAATATCTAAATACAGCTCAACTTAACGTGAGCAAGTCAGGTCTTCTAAGGATAGAAAAACATTCCTTCACTCTATAATCAATACATGGTGGGATGAGATCAACACACAGACACTACAAAACAAACAGAGAGAAATTAAGAGAGACCTAAACCGGAGCAGGTGGGCAGAAGTCCATGTGATTTACCCAGATTCAGTCTATTTTGTTGACCTCCCTGGGGTCGCAGACTGGAAAACATCGCCATTGAGATGTCAGTAGTCCCCAAAGTAATCCACAGATTTAACATACTTTCTATCAACAAACTGTTAATTTTTCAAAAAGTAACCAAATGATGCTAAGTTTCATAAAGACTCACAAGGAACTCAGCATGCCCAACAGTCACGCAAAGAACAAAGCTGGGAGACTCACACTTCCTAATTCCCTGACTTGCCACAAAGCTGCAGTAATCCAGAGAGGGTGGACTCGCCTGGTGACAGACACCGGTTAATGGGAGTCGTCGGAAGTAGAGATCCAGGAACAAACCCATACATTTGCGGTAAACTAATTGATTACAAAGGCAGTCCAATGATACGAGAACAACAGTCTCTCAGTAAATGGTGCTGAGAAAACTTAATAGACATAGTTTAAAAATATTATTATAAAGTTGGACCCTACCTCATACCACATTAAAGAAATTAAGTCAAAATGGATCGGAAAAAAAAAAAAATGGATCGGAAAAAAGAAAGGGAAAGGGAAAAGCAAAAAAAAACAAACAACAACAACAACAACAACAAAAAAATATATATATATATATAGTTAAGATAGTTATACTACTAATTTCTCTTATTTTTTTTTTGGTTTTTCTCCGGTACCGGGAACCGAACTCACGACCTTGCGCTTGCCAGGCAGGCGCTTTGCCGCTGAGCTAAATCCCCAGCCCCTACTAATTTCTCTTAGTTCACTGAAAAGAAAGGCTTGTGCTAATACTGTTTGGACAATTAAATGCTGATATTCTGTACTGCGGGCAACTAACTTAAAGATAACCATACACAATGTATTAACCATTGTTACCCTCCTATTATCTTGTTTTGCAATTTTGTTTTTCTCTTCTTTAAAATTAAAAAAAAAAAAATGGATTAGCCTAAATGTAGGAGCTAAGATTACAAGAAAACATAGGTGTAAATTTTCAAGCCCTTAGATTAGGCAATGGCTCTTAGATACGACATCAAAAGTACAAGCAAGAAAAAAATAGATAAATTACACTTCATCAAAACTAAAAACATTTGTGTTTCAAAAAAACACTATCACGGAAGTAAAAAAAAATACAACATACAGAATGGAAAAAAATTTAAATCATATATTTGATAACGAATTCTTTCAACTCAACAATAGAAAGACAAGCCAATTTTTAAACTGGTAAAGGATTTGAATATCTGTTTCTCCAGAGAAGATGAACAAATGGTTAATAAAACATGGAAAGATAATATCATTAGTCATTAGGGAAATGCAAATCAAAACTACAATGAAATTCTATCTCACACAGCCAGGATGGCTATAATCACAGCAGATAGTAACACCTGTAAAAGGATGGAGAGATACTAGAACCCTCATATGCTGCTACAGGAATGCCAAACGGAGCTGCTGTGATGAAAACGGTTTGCTGGTTTCTCAAAACACAAAAATTAAACCTAGAATTACCATATAACTTAGCAATTCCACTCCTAGGAACACACCCAAGACAACTGAAAACATATATTCACAAAGAAAAACTTGTGCATAAATGTGTAAGAGCCCCAAAGTGAGAACAGCCCAAATGTTCGTCACTCAGCAAATGGATACACACATGTGGCCCGTCCATGTAAGGGATACTATAGAACTGTAGCACAATGGATTTCTGATACAAGCTACAGCATGATGAGCCTTGAAAAGATTACGCTAAATATAAGAAATGAGATGCAAAAGAACACATTGTATGATTCCATTTATGTGAAATGCCCAGAGCAGGAAAATCCACAGAGACAGAAAATAAATTGGTGGTTGCCAGGGAATAGAGGAAGAATGACTGAGAACTGGTACGGGGTTTCTTTTTTGGGTGAGAAAAATGTTCTGGAAATACAGAGCGGTTGCAGTTGGTTGAACAGTGGCTCTAAGAAGATATGCTGGTGTCGCAGTATCTGGAACCCTTACTGAATCAGGACCTCCCCTAGAGTTCCTGGAGGGTGTGGCCCTACCCATTTCAGACTTCTGGACTGCAAACCTCTGAAGGAATACATTTCTCTTCCTTTAAGCCACCTTGTTTGTAGTAATTTGTTACACCACGGTAGCCCTAGGAAGCTAGTAACGGTGGTGAGCACCGCACAAATCTGTAAGTATACTAAAAGTCCCTGACCTTAATACATTAAAGGGTAAGCTTTATGGTATGTGAACGATATCACAATAAAGCTATTTAAAGAAAATGTATATACACACACTATCCATCCACACAGATGCTCATTTTACAATACATCCAGAAAGCACTGACTGCATAGATTAAAACACACTGGTATCCCAAAGTCTCTTCTCCTTTCTTCTGGATACCAAGAGAAGCACCTAGTGTCCCGCAGCCAGCTGGATGTATATCCTGTAGTCACTTATCACCCTCAATAGGAGAGAACTGCTTAGATCTATGTTCCTGGTCCCCTGGACCTCCTGGGCTGACACTTACTAGGGGCAGTGGTTGATTATTTGTAGTCTGTAGCTCTGCAGCTCTTGTGGCATGGCTGGGACTCAACTTTTCCCATTTCTAGATCAGTGTCCACCAAAGGCAGCTTTGAGTAGAAGATTAACTAGATAACTGGAAAAGGTAACTTCTAAGCCACCTAGGAAAAAAAAAACCCAGCACAAAGAATTCTCACTGGCTCAGGAACTCACAGGGAGATACTGGGCTGGCTCCTATCCAGGTCCAGCAGTAACAGCCCCTGACGCCGAGCGCTGCAGCTGAGCAAGGCAAGCTGATGTCAGGAGTCACTGAGTCTCTTGCCAGCGGACAGGACAGGCACGAGAGGACACGCTGCCTCTGGAATCTACTGGTCTTCCCTAAGGAGCACCGCCCAACACCAACGGGCCTGCATGGAAGTGGCACCTCCCACAGCACTGGAGGAATCTTTTTTGTAGATGAAGGCGCAGGAAACTGTCCCATGGCATTATGGGAACTAGCACAGACTGCTCTGAGGTGGCCACTTAGACTTGCTAGGGATTCCTGGGATGCTGGTTCTCTAAGTCCTACAACATGTGTGCGGCCAGAAGACACCTGGGTGCGCTGTTCCTGCACTTTTGGGCCTTACCTCCACACATCACTGCCTTTGGAAAACATGGAGGCCCGAATGACTTCAGGCGCCATCCAAGCATAGGTCCCTGCAGCGCTCATCTTGGTGGTTCGGTGCCACTCCCGAGCCAGGCCAAAATCAGTGATCTTCAGAATCTTGTTGCTCAGGTCTCCATTCTCCACCTTCTGCAGGACCAGTACTGGGCAAGGAAAAGAATGCAGAAGAAACCAGAGCCTCATTAATCACAGGGGCGCCATGAGCACAGAGCACCCCCACCATCTTCCGGCCTGTCCCGCAGGCTTCCACCGCTGTTACCACGGGATGACGGTGAAAGCCATCACTCCTCAAACACCTTCAATGCATGCGTTTTTGTGAACATACGTTGTCCGTACGGCCTCTAATAGAACCACCTTACAAGGGAAACACTACAGGATGAGCATCCCTAACCCAAGAAGATTTAAGGGTACTCAACTAGCAGTCTGCGTGGATGTTTCCAAACCTGAAAACAATCCAAAATCTGAAACACTTCCGGCCCCAAGCACTTAGAATAATGGACACTCAGCTTTTCCTGCCATCTTGGCTTTACAGACGCAGAGACTGTGACACAGCACTGTAAGACGGATTCCCAAAGTCCCTCAGCCAAGACACCAGGACGGAACCGCAGGCAGCTGACGCGGGGCACGTCCCAGGGGGAGGGGCCGGTGCCCTGCAGCAACTGCGCTCTGGGCTCTAACTCGCGCCCAACACTGATGACAGAGCACTAGGGTCCAGGAGCCACCCTGGCTTTCCAGAGCAGTGGCAGAGGCAGCCATCTTACTCCCGCGACCGTTCCAGGGATAAATGTGTTTTTCTGGGAGCCAGTCTCGCTAAAAAGACCCAAACCAGTAATTACTAGAGGGCTACAAGGTGGCCAAGAAACAGGGTGGGCAGCAAGTAAGCGCTCTGGATCTGTGCACGCCAAGCCCCCACCTTCACAAGCGGGACGCTTTCAAGGGTTCGGTGCAAGCATAACCTCTTATAGGGGCTGGGGATTTAGCTCAGTGGCAAAAGTGCCTGCCTGGCAAGCGCAAGGTCGTGAGTTTGATTCCCGGTACCAGAAAAATAAAAAGAAATCAACCATAACCTCTTATGGGCCAGACACTGGTCCCCTCCCGCTGCCGCCGACCTGCCCTCCTCCATGGGCTCTCTATTCCATGACATACCTTTACTTTTGAAAGTATTTGCATTCATGCTCTTCCACATCTAAAGAAAGGAATCTGTGATGGTGGGACTTTTGGGTGCACGTTTTAGGGCCGGAGCAGAGGCAGGTGGCTCTGGTCACACATTTGTACTCTTCTTTGCCTCCCCCAACTCCCACTGCAAAGTCCACTGAATTGTTACGTGCTGAAAGGGCGTGACCCAAAGACCTCTCCGACCTGCATCCTCCTCAGAAAAGGAGTGGCACAGGGGGGTTACCAGCAGCTGCAGAGCCGGAGGCAGAAAAGAGCCACTCCCTGGACCTAAGGGACTAAGCCTCCCGGCCACACCCTCCCCATCCTGCCACACCCTCCCTGCCTCAGGCTTCCAGCACCCCAGGGAGTGTAGGCCTTGGAATACTTCAGCATATTTTTAAGAAAAAAAGGGAAAAAAAGCTTCCTCTCTATTATCTATTAACAAGAAGTATTTCCACAGTCTTCGGTGGCAGAGATAACAGGAAGTGGACTTTCAAATGGCCAGGCAAGGGGCCAGGGATATAGCTCAGCCACATAAGTGCCTGTCTGGCAAGCACAAGGTCCTGAGTTCGATTCTCGGTACAAAACAAAAACAAATCAAATGGCCAGGCAAGTGACGCTGAGGAAACCACCACTCCTACTTCAGCAGCAGCCACCAGCCACTGCTGTCTCTCTGGGCACCCCATAAACAGAAAGCTCAGAGTGAGCCCTTCCTTCTACAGCCGCTCTGGGGTCCAGTCCTGAGCGTGGTGGGAAGAGGTTTATGAGATCAGTCTGTAGGACGGCTTTAAATCAGGAGGACAAGATGAGCAGTAACCGCCCGGACAGAATGTCTTCAGACAGCAGAGCTACAGCTCAAGTCCACCAAAGCCTCGCTGTCCCCCCTGCCTGACACCAGCTGTCCCGAGTGCCGATCAAGCACTTGCCACAACTGCTCAGGCCCCTCAAAGGATCCGATTCAGGAATCCCAGGCCTAGGGGTCTTGCTCTCGTGAAAGAAGAGAGCCTGTAGTCAGAAACCAGCCAGCAATCTGGCAAAGGGCCACCCCCGGCAATAATGTCCTCACGTACTAGCATCTTCCGAGCATCTTTTACTGCTAATAAGTAAAACACCAAAGTGTGGAAGCTTTACTTTTGTTTTGTAGATTTCTTTTCTTTTACTGAGATGAAATATGAATATCGTACAATTAGCCACTTTTTTTTTTTTTACAATTAACCATTTTAAAGCAAACAATTCAGTGGCATTTAGTACATTCACAATGTTATGTACCACCACCATCTCTATCCAATTCCAAAACATTTTCATCGCCCTCAAAAGAAGCCACACACATTAAGCAATTATTCCCCATCCTCTCCTAGCAACCACCAATCTTCTTTGTCCCTATGGATTTACCTACCCTTAATATTTCATATAAATGGAATCATACAGTATGATATATACCTGGATTATCTCACTTTAAGTTTTCAAGATTTATCTACAGCATTGCTTAGACTACTACCACATTTCTTTCTATGGCTGAATAATAATCTATTGTGCACACGTGAATACTAGAGTTTGTTTATGTATTTGCTGACATTTGCGTTGCATCTACTTTTCAGCTATTGTGGACAGTGTTGCTATGAACATATATGTATTATTTTCAATTTCGAGGATATGTGATAGGCAGGCACAGAGAAGACCACAGTAGGAAAAGGGGGATGTGGAACTTCTGCCAGCTTGGCCTAGGGTCAAAGGTTAAATAGGCCCAGGCTGGAGGCGGGGTTTAGGGGGCAGACCGCCTGACGTGGCAGACCAGGATTGGGCAAGAGCATGGGAAAAGAAAACAGGATATTACAAAAAGGGAAGTAGGAAGTCGTAATTTGATTCAGAGGAAGAAGGGTGGGGCCTAGCACATGACCTCTAGCGGCCAGGCCAACACCATATTGGCTCGGCACCATACTGGTTCAGCGCCATAGCACATGACCTCCAGCGCCATATTGGCTGGGTGCCACAGAGACTCAGCAGGAATTACAGGGAGGCGAGAAACCCATCAATATGTACTAGGAACGGAACTGCTGGATCATATAGTTATTCTGTTTCTTTGAGGGACCACCAAACTGTTTTCCACAGCAGCAGAATAACTGTATACTTCTCTGAGCAGAATGTGAGGGCTGCAATTCCTTCACATCCTCACCAACACTTATTTCCACCATCATCACATCTTAGACGTGAAATGCTATCACCCTGGGGCTTAGATTTGCATTTTTTTTTTTTTTCTAATGGACTAATGGCACTGACCATCTTTGCACATGCTTATTGGGCATTCATATATTTTCTCTGGAGAAATGTCTGTTCAATCCGTCACTGATTTTTAAGTGGGTGGTTTTCTTTATTGTTGCATTATAAGAGTTATTTATATATTCTGGATATTAGACTTATCAAATAGATAATGTGCTAATATTTTTCCTATTAAATAGGCTATCTTTTCTCGGTCTTGATAATTTCTTTTGGTGCACGAAGTTTTTCAATTTAGATGAAGTCCACTTTATTTTTTCTTTTGTTCACAATGTTGGTGTAAACCTAAGAATTCACTGCTGTGATGACTGTCAACCCGAGTAAGAGAAGTTTAAATTGGCTCAGCAATTCCACACCCTAGAATGCAGAAGACCCACCCTAGGGCAGCTTGTTGCCTGGATGGTATAAAGGTGAAATGAAGGATGATCTGCTTCTCTTCTTCAGAGGAGCTCCTGTCTTTGCCTTCAACCTGGACATCATCTTCTGGCTTCCACTGCAGACACTTCAGCTTCCAGTGCAGACCCTCAGCCTTCTGGTGCAGACCAGTCGGGCCTCCTGACACAGATTCACACAGGACACTGCAGTGAGTTCCAGGCCTTCAGCTGGATCTTTGGGATGCTCAGTGTGCAGAGGGACCCTCTGCTGCACGCTTCCTCATCTCACTCTGTGGGCGGCCATCGACAATCTCGTAAATTCTTATGCATTTGTACATCTTGTGCTACATCTGCTTCTCTAGTAAACACTGACTGATACAACTGCTAAACCCAAGGTTATGAAGATTTACCTCTATGTTTTCTTCTAAGAGTTTTATGATTTTAGTGCTTATGCTTAGGTTACTGATCCATTTTTGGTTAATTTTTTATATATCAAATAAGATAGAGGTTCAAATTCACTCTCCAACGTATGGCTATCCACATGTCCCAGCACTATGTATTAGAGAGGAAAGCTTTAAAATGTAAACAGCATAGAACACTGTTCTCCCCCAACATGCTTTCCTAAGTGGGAGAGGAAGGTTGTTTGTGTATCTATATCTCTGTAGTGAGCCTCCTGTAAGCTTCCACCACTGACAAACAGCAGCAAAAGTAAATTATTGTGCTTTCCCATCTTGGTGAAACCCAAGTGCATTGTGTAAACCTCACCTCTCATGTGTGGGGCAATGGACAAAATACTGAAAAACAACGATTTAAGGCCTAAGTCAATAGGGGCCAAGCCAGAATCAGGAGAGCAAAGAGGAAATGATGCATTTGGAAAAAAACCTATTAACCAGATACAGGGCCTCAGTGGAGCGGAGAGAGGTCTCCAGCCTTTCGGGAAAACAGGAAGGTGGTAATGCAACCAGGAAGCTGAGAGAAAGGGACGTCTGAGGAAGCCGAGTTCAATTTTGGACGTAATAGGTGCAGGCTGACAGTCACAACAGTCCATATGAACAGGGGGAGAGCAGTTTAGGTCCCAGGCCCGACACTATGTGACCCTGGATAAATTCCATAAACTCTGTACCGTAATGTCCGCTTCTTAAAAAATGGGGATAATGACTAAAGGGAATACAGTGATAACGCAGCTAGCCACTCAGAACACAACAGCTACGATCATCACAGTTGTACACGGGACTTCGCACTCCAGGAATGACCCTGGAGGACCGGCAGTTCCTGCCCCATAACCTCGTAATACACTTCCGCTGTGTAAATAAAGGGAAGGGCTGACTAACAGTAACTAC